GATTGTCTCTGCAGCGTGATCTGCGGCTGACGGCGAGCGAGGCCTGGAATAGAAGCTGTCGCCGTGTCTGAGGGTTCAACGTGGCGGCCTCGAGACTGAGATGGCAGAATCGAGGTCTCTGGAACGGCTCGTCGGCCACTCCCGTCTTCGACCATAGTTGGGGGGCCGAGTTGTTATCCCTTTACATTTGTCAACATCTTGTCTTGACGAGCACTCATTGTCGACAAATGCACATATACACATGCCTTGTCGTGTTATTCGCCATCTCTCCCTTCGCTTTTCAGACGACATGGATCACCAGGCTCCGAGGATGAGCCCTCCCCATGTCGATTGGAGCCGTGGAGCGACTCATAGTAGCAGAGTCAACAAGCGGGCGCGGCCAGATTGAAGCGGAGAGCGGGAAGGGGAGGGCCTTGCACGCATGCAGCCCGATAGCGGCACAGCGCATATGCATGTGCACAATAGCTACCTCACATCATGTCTGGTTCGTGAGCGTGCTTCAAAGGCTCTGTTGCCATAGCCGCCTCGAAAAATGAGACAGCTGGCTGCCAACTGCAATTGCGGTGCTTATTACACGTTGAACTCCCATTTTTCCACCACCAACCATCTCTCGGCGACCAAGCCGGCCCAACTTCGTATTAGTATTATTGTTGTGCCTTGTGCAGCGGTTGAACGGGTTGGCGGACATCATGGCGAGCACCGCATCGTGCAGCCATATGCAGGCAAGACAGGGCCAGGGTGGCCAGCAGCATAATGATTGGCTTGTATATGCATGGCCCGATCGAATGGTGGTGGTTGGGTTTTTTTTTGGGGGGGGGGGGGGTCCAGCTGGGGGTGTGATGCCGTGATGTGGTAGTCAGTCCAGTCGTTCATTGTCACCCTCCTTCACCTCGATGACAGTTTCGACAGAAAACTCCGTAGCGGGGGACCCCTTCCCTAGTTGATGGCCTACTCTCCAAAGGGTGTTTTAAGCACCCATGAGTGGCCGTGGCCATTGAAACATCGGTCAGGGATAGAGAGGGTTCATTTTATCAGGGCTGGTACCATGTACACCAAGACATTGGGCGACGAAGAAGAAGTTGATCTCGACATGTTACTATGTTCCTTTCCTTGACTTGTTCAGCGGGGAGTACTGGAAGCAGGCCATAAGGTGTACTCCGCGCAAGAAGGCAACCACGAACATAATTGCTTCGATCATCGACGATTCGAGGAAGTAGAAAGGCGCCCGATGGACGCTGGCCAATCCCGTCATGCTGACATCACAAACATCGTTCGTTGGCT